GGAGAGGCGGGGCGCCCCGGGTTAAAATAGAACTGTCCACATGGAGTTGATTTGAGGTTTTCTATATGGGGAGCCCGGGAGTGGGTCTGCTCAAGTAATGAAGTCAGTTCAAACCATTGGAAAAAGACTATCGCGTGCAGCTCTGTTGTGGCAGAGAGCACCCACTTGCCCACATAAAAAGTACATCACTGCCGTAAAGAACTGCCAGACATTTGAGATGTATTGACCATTTTTCTCAAGAAACTATAAACAAATAATCTGGTATGATTCAACTTTGAGTTTGTGAGTCAAGATCATTTAAATCATTCTGCTTTTAAACAAACAAGCCAACAGAGAGATGAATACCTTGTTTCTTTGTAAATCACATAAAATACCCTTGCAATGCTTGAACAAATGTCTCCAAAATGAATCTTGAAGTCACTAAAAACATGAAGCAAAAGTGTTGCATCCAGCCATCCACCTCACATCAGTCCCTCACTGCCAATCCAGTCCTACCTCAAGATCTTTGTTGAAATGGCCCCTGAGGACATTATAAACTCTTGACATCTCCTCAGAAACGTTCAACTCCCTGGAGAACTGTAACACTTAGCAAAGCTGTGATGACAGATTGGATTGGAGTGGATTAAAGGACTGGTATGCTTCCACAGTTACTCCCTCTTCCTGAGAAGCTGTGAATGTGCTACATATTACACGCTGAACTGTCTCCTGTGCTCTGTGTCAATCATTGCGGCATGACATATTCCATACCACTGTGCAGTCATCTCCCACTTGACGATCCATGGCAAAAAAGGGTCCTTGTCCTGGATATAATCATGATATGGCGCTACAGGAAGAAAGGTCACACAGCTTGATGGAAGTGGGACATCGGTGCTGAAAGTGTCCTAATGATCTGGCATGACACGGCAAGGAAGAAAAATACAAGGGAAGTAGCATGCTGTGTGACTTATTAAGAGTTGTTCCTTTTACTTTTTCAATTATTTGCTCGTACTCACCCTCACATGTTACAGCCATCGACAACAGCTACCTCAAAATATCTTATGTAACATTACAAAGTGAACTCTATCTCGTTACATATTCAAGGAAAAGTGACCCCAACTCCATGCAGGCCACTCTTCTCTTCCTTTTCATTATTTCATGCGTTTCCTTTTGAGACCCTGCCTCGTTCATAACTTATTTCAGCACGGAAATTCCTCCATTGCACTCTCCCTTGACTGTCACAGCGTCCCATTTTCTTTTTGAGCCCCCCCCTCCACCTCTGGGCCTCTGGGTGTAATCAGAAGAACCCATGATGTTCTAATAGGAAAAAGCCTTCTATCTGGATTGGAAGAAGAAAACCTGAAGGAAGGAGACTGAAGGACTGAGGGGACAGAATATGATACTGGTGAAATGCACAAAGAGAGAGCTAATGAGTGGTGGTGGTACTGGTGCCGGGCAGGCTCGTTGCATGAGAACTAGCGGGTAGGGAGACCAAGTGGGACTGTTGGTGGGAGGAGGCGGAGGAGGGTGGCGTCTACCAGGCTTTTTTTTTTTCTTCTCTCCCTCTCTCTCTTCTATTCCCTGGACGCAAGAGCAGATGGTATTCCCATTGAAGAAATCATAAAGCAGAATGGGAATCAGAAGCAGACTGGCAGGGTGTGGTGGTCCCATCAGGCACACAACTCATTTTCTGTTTATTTCCTACAATTCATTTGGTGTACACCTATCCAGCAATGTATTGATTCAATGATCAACGAGCCAATATAATCGATTCGAGGTGAAAACATTGATACAAATCGCCTGTTTGTCGAGTTTTTGATCAATGGTCAGAGTGATCATAGATGGAACTAGCAGTGACATTACAGCTGTGTGTAGCAGTGAGGCGTGTCCACAGTTTATTTGTTGATGAATAAATGCTATAACTCTACGAAGACTAAGATAGATATGTCTGGTCTGCTGCTGATTAAAGTGAAATGTGTTTGCATAGAACAACAGGTCTGTTTATTTAAAAGAGTGGTTCATTTAAATGTCTGGACAATATGATATCTAATATTGATCGTAAAATAATCAATATGTTCATTATGATATGGTGTTGTGGTGAAACTTGTGATTTACAACCCTACAATACTGTTCCTTACTGAAAAAGATGAAATCCTGGCCAGACAGACATGCTTTAAGGTCGGTCTCTACAGGATTAATAGTATTAACAAAAAGGTACTTTTATCAGCAGCTGATCTGGTCACCTCACTCTTATGACAGCTGCTAAAGTAAGGAAAGCAATGCTTCCGTATATCCCCATAAGGAGCTCTGTCGTGCTATTTTACTGCAAAAATACAGCCATCAGGAGTAAATGGATATGATGAGCAAAACATACAGATTTCATTATGGCTGTTATGTAGCAGTTTCCCAAAATGCTGAAATAGCAAATTAGTTGTCTGCAGTTACATATCGGGTTAGATAACAGCAAATCTAGAAGCTGGATGCCTCAGAGCTGTGCTTAAGTTTGTGTTCCAGCTAATTACGGTCGCAGTGTATAGTATTTACAAGTAGAGAGGGATTATTTTGGCACTCAAGCTCGACTAAAAGCCAAGTGATGCAGCACAGTGGCTCTGAAGTGAAATGGGGCTGGGGAGCAGCAGAGCTGGAGATCAGGACACGGCTCTGTGGGTAGATGGTTGTTCTTGCGGACCGGGTCCCAGATGTATAGCACTTATGAACACAACTGGGCCGAGATAGGAGAACCCACTTAAAACCTCAACAACCAATTATCCAACCGCTCCCAACAGCTGAGAGCAATCGCATCAATGCAGGGGAAGTCTTATTCAAATGTCAATCAGACGGTCGCAGGGGGGGGACTGTGTCTTTGTACGAGTGCTCATCTGTACAGCTGTCTGTCCAGCTCCCTAGGTAACCCTGATATCCTTCCACACCAAACCAACAACCTGAGAAAAAGCTGTGTCTGCCTTTGTTAACAAGACCAGTTATTACACTCCGGTGTACAATGCCATTCACTGTCATTGTGGCTTTTGATGAAAACACACACGAGTCAAAGGAAGTAAAACCTAGCTAGGGTTTTGGGAAACTGTGAGTGGCACTTTCCTGTTATTTTCTTAGAATGAATGGACGGTAAACCCAATCAATCATGAAAATAATTCACAGATTAATAAGAAAGGGCAATGAGCATTTGTCGCAACCCTACTTCTATTTTGAATGCTCAGAAATTAAATGGTACTTAAAATCTACAGTACATAGGTGACAAATCCAGACCTATATTTGGATGAAGTAATTATGTAAAATATTTGTTTGTGCTGCCAATATTATTTAGAATATAGATTCCGCACCCTACTTAACATTTGTTTTGATTTGTAGGTTCTTAAAAAAAAATGTGGGTAGCTGCTCTTAGCACACAGCTCATACAAACAGTCATGCACCAAGATTTGAAGAAGTCATAATTAAACACAAAGCTTAACAGCAGAGCTAATACCTCAAGAACAATAAACACAGATAGACTTCTCAATAGTTGCTGATGAACCAAAAGAGGAACAACACTACAGTGAGCTTTGCACACTGGATGTGTGGTGAGAAAAAGGACTCCAGTGATGATCATATTGCTCTGTTTCTTGCTGGATGTGTTAGAAGCCAAATGTTTGCTCAGTGCTCACACACTCAAACATAGCATGGATAATATAGCATCAAGGCAGCTTTAAGGATAGCCTGCCCAACACAACTTTCATCCAACCCCCCAATGTGTTAAATCGCCAGTGGAAGAAAAAGATTAAAGCAACTACAAGGAAATATGTAATGATAAGACCCTGTGTGGTTGTCCTCAACCATGTTGTTGAGATAAGGGAAGATGCATGTCTGCAGCTAAGAGTATCTAAGACTAAGAACATGAAGTTGACTTCTTGTAGCACACATACAAAGGTAGTTAGTGGATGTGGTACAGCAATAGACATACTTCATGCCTAAAAAGAAAGAGCAAAGATGCAGTGCACCTGACACTGACACAAGACAGAAGTTGGCAGCAGCAGACATGAATAAAACGATGCAAATGAGAAATATATGTAGATATTAGAGCCATTTAAACAAAGCATTAATTATGCTGCTTTCAAAGATTTAATCATTTGCAGAAACTTGTTTCATCTGCAGCTCAATACACTCCAACCACAAAGCTGAAGTTTATTTTGGGTCTAACCTATCGATCGAAATATGATATAATAGCTTTAATTTGCTCAGCTCATTGGAAGGCTTACAGTGGGTCTAATTAATAATCATAAAGCATCCTTTCAAAAATAAATTAGAAGAGTATTCATAAAAGAGATGTATTGGTCTGCACCTTAGTTTCACAGCTATCATTAAATACAACTTTTTGATATGCAGCTCATAGCCTTAAGATGTTAACTGTCAATCAAGTGGCTGTTTTGTTTAATTGGTTTAGGAGGATCTTTTGTATCATCACATCTGATTTAAGTGTATATTTTAAACCCAGTAATTGTTTAAAATTGGCACAAGGTGACATATTGGATCAGTCTTTGAGAGGTATCACTGGGAAGAGGAAATATCCAATAAGGTCTTATGGCTTGGTGTGTCACTCACTGTGATGGAAGTGAGCCCCGTCGGCCATTCATCAGTGCAGGATACTATGTCAGCATGCAGTGGAGGAGGTCGATATTCCACCAAGACAAATAGACTACATTTACATGTATTTATTGCAGGCCATTACAGGGATCTGCTTTGCAGAACAGGCTCCTATTTCATTTTCCATCACATCCAGCCTGCATCACCAAGCTTGCCCCCGTGCTGAGGACTGCTGCGAGGTGTTAACATTCAGATCAAGTATGGAGAGTGTTCTGTCTATAAAAGTAGGGTAAAACTGCCCATTCAAAGAGAGGGGTTTGGTTGAAAAACACAACATTAAATGGGATGTTTCTAGTGGTGATATTAAGCAAAAAAAACGTTCAGTCCCACCGTGTCCAAAAGTCGTAATAACTAGCAAAACTTCATAGAAAATGTAGAGAACTTACCACCCCGGTGTCCAGCTGCTCGTTAGTCAGAGAAGGAGCCGCTCCAGTCAGAGGTAAAAACAACAAAATAGGCACCAACAGAAGCATCTCCGGAGAAATATTCCTCATCCACTTGTGAAGCACCAGAGAAACCATGCTGCCCTATGAGTATGACAGGCTGCTCCTGCAGGGCTCAGACACCGACCCCGACAGCTGCATCCGCCGGATAAATCTCACGCCAATACTCCTGTAAAAATGTGCTCGATTAAGGTCTACCTCACTGTTGAGCGCAAACACATGAAACACATTAAAACACCGCTGGCTGTAAGGCTAAGTTTTTTCTCCACAAAACGGCACTTGTAACTACCACCTACGTGTTCATTATCAGATGGAAAATGTGTATTCTTGATTTATATCAAGTCCATCTGAGGTGATATCCCTGCAGCAAGTGGCGCGAGCTCCCTTTCCTGCTCGCGGAGGCTCCAGCTCTGGTAATGAAAGCAGCTGCGTGCGGTTTTGTCCCGAGCAGACGCACACGCACTGAGAGTGAATGAGTATTTGGCCCGGAGGATTCAGGGAGAAGGAGGGAGGGAGGGGAGTTCAGCGCCTTCTTAGCACACTTCAAACTGAATTCATGACGCGCCTCCTCCGTAATTTGAGAGACTCAAGGGTCCAGCTAAAAGACGTAAAACAATTTGTCCGTGTTGCTCATCATCGTTGCATGAGAAAATATGTCAGCGACTCAGCGTTGAGTGGGTTTGACATGCCTTGGAGAGAATCCAAGTGTTGGACCAGCAGCTTCATGTTTTATGTTATCTTATGCCAGCAATGCATAACAGGAGTTACAGAAGCAGATACAGATAAGAAACATTTTATTATCTTTTTTATGCTCATGGTTCAGGTTATGTTATACATCTGTTATCTCGACTGTTTGCTCATCATCATCACATCTTCAAGTGTTATAGGCGCTTTCACACCAAGTACTTTGCTGTACTTAGTTCCCAGTAGCCTACTTAGTTCATCGGAACTCTTTAGTTCCCTGAGCAGATCGCGTTCACACCGGAATAAATCCCTGAGGCCGGGAGGATTATGCCAGAGCCCAGGGCTGCGGTCGAATAGTCCAAAAATCAGCTCCTAACGTCTATCCCTATCGTCTATCCCTTGACCTCTGTGTGAAACGTCACGGGGTTAAGTTAGAGTGGATAGGATAATTCAAAAGGATTTAGGGTTGCGGTCGAATAGTCCAAAAATCAGCTCCTAAATTCTAACCCTATCGTCTATTCCTTGACCTCTGAGTGAAACGTCACGGGGTTAAGGGATAGTGGATAGGAGAATTCAAAAGGATTTAGGAGAAGAGACTGCGGTACTTTCGACTCTAAAGTTGGATAGTGAAAGTGCAGTCGGATTAGAGAATCCGACTGCACTTTCACTATCCAACGTGTTTATGATGCGCCAGCGGAGGTCATAAATGTGCGTCTGCTGCTGTGGGGAAACTATGGAAACTACAGTTTTCTATACAGCGGACTACAACATGGATGTTTAATAAGAACGAGGGACTACTGTAAACTCATCTTGAGACTCTGCACCGTGCTCTGATGCTGTTGTTTTATGCTTTATGAACGGGGACAACAGAGAAACATATTCTTCTTTTAAAAGTTGAACAAACCCCACACAGCTCAGTAAAGACTGTGAAATGTTGACTTTATTTGATCATTTCAGTAAAAACTAATGTTCATATTTCTCTTTTTGATTATAATACTGATGAACGTTCAAAACAAAGCACTTTGGCAACTTACCACATACGTTTTAAAATGCTTAATAAGCACCGTAACTTTCATGATATAATTTCTCGTTCATAATCGGTTGTTTCCGTGAACGGCCGACTGTTGTGTGACGGCAAATGCCGCAAGGCATTGTGGGGCAGTATTTTCTCCTCTCCTTTAGGTTAGGGAGGTCCAGTGGTTCCTAAGCTAAAGGAGGTTATAAAGGAAGTTTGAAACCTCCTTTCCTTTCATTTAGAGAATTCGAACGGCACTTATCATGGCTGCCACTGAGGGACTTCCGGGTAATTTCACTCCGTTAGGAAGGTTCCTAAGCTAAATGGACTATTCGACCGCAACCTATAGGAGAGGAGACTGCGGTACTTTAGAGCAGTGGTTCTCAACTGGTGGGTCGCAACCCAAAAGTGGGTCGCGGACCCGTTTCAAGTGGGTCGCAGATGTGTGAGTGAAGAAAAAAAAAAGTTGAAAAAACAAAATATATCTTTCCTTTTTTTTTGGAAAAAGGTCAAACTTTTATTTTGAAGGCCCGATTTTCTAACGCTGTGCATGCAGTAGGCGTTGGACTGGAAGTACCGGAGACCATAAACGGTTTTGAAAACTTCTGTCACGTAGTGATCATCTTCTCAATAAAACATCTTTGCTGATGTTTTTTCGAGTCTTCTGGCCAATCAGAATAAAGATTGTTGCCGGAAGTCCCCACGGAGAATAACTTTGCTGTAGAACTATTCTTTATACATCCATGGGTACAACTTCAGATAAAAATGAACACCTAATGAAATATGACCCCCGGTTTGATGATTGACAGGTCACAGAACAATGGGGGCTATCTACCCTACCCACAATTTAAAGTAATTCACACAGACAAGTGCTGAACTTGTCTGTGTGAATTACTGTCAGAACAAAATGAAAAAGAAACAATGGCATCAAATAGCCTATTATTAATATGTCGGGTAGTAATAGATTTATTTATTTTCTTCTCAGAATGTACCAGAATGCGTAGTTTATATGTTAGTATTTCAAAAAATTTCCTGGGGAGAATCCTCCCAGACCCCCCTTCTGCAGTTGGGTTTTCAGCATGTGTGCCTTTTTATATTATACAGTTCAGCTTTGATTCCATCATCTCATTAAACCTTTTAAAAGCATACTTTAGTTCTGTGAAGGGATATAAGGGATATATGCACTGTACTTCACTTTAATTAACTTTAAATTGAAAAGTGTATATATTACAGCACTATCTTTTGTTGAATAGATTTGAGTGGTTCAAATTTCGGGTCGCAATTTATTGACAAAGGAACAATTGGGTCCCGAGGCCTGACCAGTTGAGAGCCACTGCTTTAGAGAATCCGACTGCACTTTCACTATCCAACGTGTTTATGGTGCGCCAGCGGACGTCATAAATGTGCATCTGATGCTGTGGGGAAACTATGGAAACTACAGTTTTCTATACAGCGGACTACAACATGGATGTATAATAACTACTGTAAACTCATCTAGAGACTCTGCACCGTGCTCTGATGCTGTTGTTTTATGCTTTATGAACGTGGACAACAGAGAAACATATTTTTCATGACCAAAGTTGGAATTGAAATTAAAAAGGAAAGTGAAACTTATGCTCGTCACCCTCTCCCTCCGGTCCACATGAATACAAATGATCCCAATACTGTACGTATGATTGTATGAACTATGAAAAGATCTTAAAATCAATACAAATATATTTATTATAAATGTTAGTCCTTAACATCTATCACTGTGTATATCACCATTCAAACATCTTTTAAAAGTTGAACAAACCCCACACAGCTCAGTAAAGACTGTGAAATGTTGACTTTATTTGATCATTACAGTAAAAACCAACGTTCATATTTCTCTTTTTGATTATAATACTGATGAACGTTCAAAACAAAGCACTTTGGCAAGTTACCACATACGTTTTAAAAAGCTTAATAAGCACCGTAACATTCATGATATCATTTCTCGGTCATAATCGGTTGTTTCCGTGAACGGCCGAATGTTGTGTGACGGCAAATGCTGCGGCCGCAAGGCATTGTGGGGCAGCATCTTCTCCTCTTCTTTCGTAAAGGGAGGTCCAGTGGTTCCTAAGCTAAAGGAGGTTATAAAGGAAGTTTGAAACCTCCTTTCCTATCATCTAGAGAATTTGAACGGCACTTATCATGGCTGCCACTGAGGTACTTCCGGGTCATTTCACTCCGTTAGGAAGGTTCCTAAACTAAATGGACTATTCGACTGCAACCCCGGATTAGGCAAATGAAGCCACCAGTGGCGAGCCGTCAGGGCCCTCTAGGCCCTCTGTGAGGGCCTAAGATATTCCAAAAAATAATATTTAAAAACATTAAAAAAAATAATATTTCTTTTAAATATATATTTTTTTAATATTATTTTTGTTATATTTTTCATTAGTTTTACCGAAAAGAAACTTGATTTAATTGTATTTAAAATAACATTTCCAAAGAAATAAATCCTTCGAATCTGCCTGTTCATTCTCTGTTTGAATGTGTGGGTTACATGAAAGAAGCTCGCCTGGCCCTCTCTGCGATTCACAGAGGGCCCGCTATAGTAACTGAACGAGAGAGTAATGTCAAATGACAGTACAATTGACCAATCATATCTTCCCTCTAAATGGGTGGGTTTTATTATCGCGGACATTATGACAAGTTCCGCCCGCTGTGAAACTTTTCTTGTTTCCATAGCAACAACAACTTCCTGTCAACAGCGTGAACTCGCCTTCAAAATAAAAGCATGCCAAATTACACTTAAGACATACAACGGCAACGAAAGTAAGAAACACAATGCAATATCATTTTCAATGTCAAAGAACACAAATTGGGTTCACAGGTGTTGTTTTGTGTGGTAGAGGGTCGCTGTCATTGATGTGTTTTGCACCCTGGGCCGTTGTTTTGATATTCCGCTGAAGTATACGCTGTGACGTAATAACTCTTTTTTTTTCTTTTTTCGAGGGAAGGGGTGGGGGTCAGAGGGCCTAGGTATAAAGCTCACGGCTCGCCACTGGAAGCCACTGACGTCACTTCTTCTTCTTCTGCTTTGGGTTTACTGGCAGGCTGCAAACCGCTTCACGGCATATATTGCCACCCGAAGTCCCTGGCCGGAAGTCCCCGGAGTTGGGGACTGGCTTCAGTAGAAGCTGCTGGGACTCCCAGCAGCTTACTGAAGCCTTCCGAGTAAATCGCCAGAACGCCGACACCTCCTCATCACTCCACCGCTCCCCTGTTTTTTTTTGTGTTGTCATAAGTGTTGCCTCTCCGTTGGTGCGCTGGGCTAATGCTAATGCTAATAATGCTAATGCCAGCAAATACAATGGCGGCTTCACAAAACTTTTCTGAGTTTTACGGGGCGTGGTTTGCAATTCGCCCCGCCAATCAGAAATGGGAACCTTTTTCTCCCAGGAAAGTACCTTCTCTCTAGCAGGGACTGAAAAGGGGGGAAAAAGTTCTCATGAACTAAGTTCTCTTTTTGGTGTGAACGCAAAATCCCAGGAACTATCGGAACTAAAGAGAGGGGTCTGCCTGCAGGCCTCCACTCTCAGGACAGTTCCGGTGTAGGCTCCACTGTCAGGACACCTCCACTCTCAAGTGACGATTCTGACGAACATGTTTTTTCCCCGCCCCCCGAAGGACTCGTCTGATGGAAGTTTTCAAATCACAATGGAGACTCATCACGGAGGTGATGAGTCCGCTCACC